CAGCTTCTTTTATAAACTTGCAAAAAGTAACAAAACCATTTGAAAGCCACTATTTGTGGATTCTCTGAAAGTTTCCATGGAGTGTGTGACAATTTATTTTTTCATTGATCCTATCGTCTAATCTCACAGCTGAAACAAGCATCCTTAATAATCTGTGCACAGGAAGCTTACCGATGCTGTAGTAAAACAAAAGGTATTATAATTTATTATTAATAAAACCTTGTTGCAGCACTAAAGCAGAAAAATTAGATTTTGCATTAAATATGCAAAATATTTACATATGAATTGTTTTAGAGCCCTTTAATTGGCAGAATCTGATATTAATTTAGTTCTTACAAAAAATGGGTCCCAACATGGTTTGTGTGGCGTTGCCATAGTGTGACGTCATAGGCACAGATCCCTGTCCTCTTGTTTGGAAATGGAAATATGATCACCCTACATTAAACAAACTGTCCACCCGGGCTTTTGCGCTGCACAGAGACGCTTCGCTGCCTACGACTGAACGTCAGTTGAGAGTCAGTCTCATGCAGACTGACCAATGAAGAGAGGGCCTCAAGTTAAGACCCTCTCCTCATTGGTCAGTCCACACGAGGTGGGTCAAAGGTTACTCTGGGCGGGTTACGTGTTGTCAGGCATTCAAGTATTGAGTATATTTACTGCATATTACAGTAAAATATTCTGTATGTGACCACATTATGGTGATCCTCGGGTCGTGATGATGGAGCCCTTGAATATTGTTGCCCAGGGTACAACAAAGTGTTAATCTGGCCCTGGTTCCGCCGTCACATTCCCGCAGAAACTGGTTGATCACACCGGGGCCAGACTAGCATGTGGTTTTACAACCACAATGTCCTCAGAAGCAAAAACGCTTTTAAAAGGGAGGGAGGAGTCCTAACTGTTGCTGCAGGCGTGTTGTGTGAGAGTGCAGTTATATACTGGTTAATATATTTTTGGGTTCAGTTGCTTTCATGTGGCCTAATGTGAGTCTATTTGGGATCATTGGAATGATCAGCAGCATTTCTTGATGTGACTTTATGGCAGTTGCCCAGGGCATCATCGCAAGGAGGATGGCATTCATTTACTTTTGTTTTATTTGGTATTTTTTCAGTCATTTTTGGAAATAGTGATCAATTTTGATTAATTCACAGCCTATGTTTAATTACATTTAAAATAAATGTCAACAGATGAGATCAAACAAAACAGATGAAAATTGCCCTTAAGCTGTTTAACTTGGACCAAGCATTTTAGGTCACAGATAGATGTAGCTTAGGGTCTCTGTCTATACACCTTATAAGACAATTTAGGTGATGGCATGTTGTTTTTCTGCTATTGAACTGTTTTCTAATAATGTTGTGTTAAATAAAGTGAAGGAAGGAGAGAAATAACATTTCCCTAGCAGTTTTTAAAAATTTCCCCATGTAATCCGATTAATCGATTAATCGTGTCGAGACCCCATCCGATTAATCGATTATCCAAATAATCGTTTGTTGCAGCCCTATTGTCATGTAAACATTAACTTTGAATGATGTTCATACCATAAGGATTATCTGTGCTATAGAGCTCCTACGTGGGCTTTTCACCTGTTCTGACAAACTCCCAATCGCATTTACTCCATGCAACACATGGTTACCAAAAATCATATCACACTATTCAAGCGAAAAGGTTTGTTCTAAGCTGCAAGAGAAGCAAATCAATAACAAGTAAATATTGAGTTGGTTATTTATTTACAATAAATTCACACCATCCTGGAAGAGATGCAGAGGGTCTATTTCAATTATTACTTGGCGAGAGGTACAAGACAATAGCTATTAGAAGACCAACATAAATGATAAATGACCCGCACTTGCATAGCGCCTCTCAGAGTAAGGACTCCAAAGCGCTTTACACTACAGTGTATCATTCATCCATTCACACACACATTCACACACTGGTGTGACTACGAAGTAGCCACAGCTGCCCTGGGGCGCACTGACAGAGGCGAGGCTGCCGAGCACAGGCACCACCGGTCGCCACCCACAAGGTGAGTTGAGTGTCTTGCCCAAGGACACAACAGCAGAATTCTCTGTCCGAAGCCGGGATCGAACCTGCAACCTTCCGATTACTGGACAACCCGCCCAACCATTGAGCTACTGCTGCCCCTAATACACAGAGACAACTAAGCACGCACAAAATCACCCACTTCCCATTCAGAATTTGCATTAAATCGAAACTGTGGTTGAAAAGTAGCAAAAACAACACTGAATGAAAAAATCCACACAGGAAAAAAAAACAGTCAAGGTTTCAACCTTTAGGAAACAGTGTTACTCACCACAAAAAGAAAGCCAGAGTAAGCATATACCATGTACCCATCTTTGCACTATTAGCATAAAAAACTATTTAAAACAACCTAAAAGCAGATTTCTTTGTTGTAGCTCAGCTGTAACTTGTATAAGACATGGTTTCACCACTAAAGTTTACACTAAACATCTGTGTTGAAAGAAGAAAGCACTGTGGCTTTCATGAAACAGTCGGGATGTAAGGAAATATCAATACATGTCATAACAATGAATTGTTATTTATTAGCAGTGTATTAATATTTTTACTAAGAGTTTACATGCAAACACTTACTGTATTTTTGTGTGGTGCAATTCAAACTCCCACAACTATGTGGCAGCAATTTTTACAACAACAGTGGCACAGGAGTTAAGTGCTCTCCCCGTAATCGGAAGGTTGCAGGTTCAAGCCCCGCTCAGTCTGTCACTGTCGTTGTGTCCTTGGGCAAGACACTTAACCCCCCTTGCCTGCTGGTGATGGTCGGAGGGACCGGTGGCGCCTGTGCTCGGCAGCCTCGCCTCTGTCAGCGCGCCCCAGGCAGCTGTGGCTACATCGTAGCTCATCCCCACCAGGATGCAAATGTGTGTGTGTGTGAATGGGTGAATGACTGACTGTGTTGTAAAGCGCCTTCGGGGGTTCCAGGAGTCTGGAAGGCACTATATTATGTCCCCGGCTCTCTAGGAGAGATGAGGATAGGATAGGCATGTAACTATATCAAATACAGGCCATTTACCATTTACAGCCTTCGTTCTGGTGGAAAAACCAGATATAATTATAAAAATCAAAGTGTCTAGCCCTCAGTTTTCCAATTAAATTCAGTTTTAGAAATTGCAAATATCGTCTGGCTTTTAGTATTGCAATAGTTCGCACCATCTCCCTGTATTCTGATTGTAACGCCTGATTCGCGCCAATACAAAACAGTAACTTTTTCACAAAGGACTGTTTATTTAAAATTTTAAAAGTTGTTTGAGTCAGTTTTCTCATGTCATGTTGAATACTGCAATTCTTTTGTTCCATGCATAAAAAATTTCAGAGTGAGTCAAAGTTTTCCAAACCATGATAGTTCAGAGTTACACGATGGAAATACAAGCCCCTAGACTCTTTTATTAAAGAACCAAACAGTTGTAATGGGTCCATAATGTGGCTTAGAATTGGTTTTATTTTTAAATGTATAAAGCAACACATTTTATTTGAAAACAATGTTATTTCTTTAGTGATACCGGTCTCTCATTCCTTGAAAATGTACATACTTTTGATTCTTTTTCTAAATTTTTTAAAAATAAAGTGAAAACATACCTTTTCAGGAATGTTTTTTCAATGTTATTTGGTTTCCAGAGTGCAACCCTACAACCCTCAAAGTGTTTTGCTACCAAAAACACGCATGTGCAAATGCATCAATGCCTGTGTAGCGTCATGAAGGAACTGTTTTCCACCTAACGGTCATCTTCCCTCTCTCCTCATGAAGAACTAATCTTCTTGAGATATTGCTCAAGGCCATTGATGCCTCTGCATCCAAACTGTTTTAACTAGCTATATGCCTCCCCCTACAGCTCAAGCGAAGATCAGAAGAACTCTATTAAATAATAATCAAATAACATTGTTAGTCCCAATAATAATGTGAGCTAATGTTCAATCAATCTGTGAAATGAGAATATTAATTATTTGATATTATAATCCTATGATAGCATATAATAAGTAATATAACTTTAAACTACACACTAGACTGATCACACGTAATGTTAAGATCACATGACACATCCCTTTGTCTCTCCAATCAGAGCTTTCCTTTCTGACGCGTGGCGTGATCTGTGCGGTGTTTATTTTTGTTGTCAATTTCTGATTCGACCATAAATCAAAACATCTGAATTATAAAACTAACTCCCACGTCACCCTTAACTCAGTTCAAACGTTCTAGAGTTTCGAGCCGGCCACTCTTAACTTTTTAACCACAAAGAACCTTGACAAGCTGGATAATAAAACCTGTTGCAAGCTACACCTGAACGCAACGCTCCTTCAGAGTAAAAGCTGAACTCACTGACCCTTCAAGGTCCCGCTGACGCTGTCAAACACCTGCCGCTTACCTGGAGGCAATCCCAAGACTAGTCTGTCGTACCGTACGCCGTTTCATCGGCTCTGGTACCAAGGGAGGTCCAAGGACCTGGCATTCTGGATCTACAACGGAGGTCTCCGCAAGGGTATGTAGAACGGCAAGATAGCGTCTGAATGTGGTTTTGAAACTCCGACTGTAGTTTAGAGCAAAACATTCGCTCCCACACAGAACTAATGCTTCTCCGGAAACGAGAGTTCTGATAACAACATTCCACATTACCATTCATCTTGCCTCATTCACACCTAGATCCATTCATCACACAGAGTGTTTAGAGTTAGAGTTAGCCTTATTTTAAACTGTTTACAAGTAAATCTTCTTACACTTTAAAACTTGCCTCTCTCTCTCTCTTTTGACTCTGGGTTAATACAAAGTGTTAACTAATCTCTGCAATAAAAAGTTCCGATCTTCTGTTTAAAGTAATATTCAAAGATACATCAAATTGATTTCATATTTTCTATGGAACCTTTGATATTTTCTTATGTAAGATGTAACTATTGAACCACTACATATGCCACTGAAATGTAGACGGCCATAGTGGTTGTTTCACAAATATCCTGGTTATTTCTAACACTCCTACCTGAGACTAACTCCAGCTTCTCAGCAGGATCTCCTTCCTCGTACAGTTTGGGATGGCAGCGGTTGCCTATCTGAGCGATGAGTTCTGCTGGGAGACACGTAAGATCTCGGCCTCGCATCCGACCTCGTGTCTCTGTGTGGTCCGGTAGTGCCTCAACTCGCTCGCCAGCTGCTGAAGATACACGATACAGTCCATTTAACATTTACAAACACACAGGATTTAGGTGGTGGGACTCATGTCTCAACCGGCATTGCCCTCTGTGTTTTATATCTTTTAGCCCCTTACCTGCAGCTCCCATGTTGAGCATACTGTACATGGTATACATGTTGCAGATTTGCCTGTACTGCTCTTCGGCACTTTCATCTGTCCCTTCTTCTTCTTCTTCATCATCATGGTAGCTGATGGGCGAGTCGCTAGCGTAGGTGCTCATGGTGCCGGGGCTGGCGCCCTCCGACATGCCTACACCTGGACCAGAGTTCCCATTGGTGCTCCCGCTCATCCCGCCACTAGCCACCATCCCCGCCAGGCCAGTTGTGGTGGCGTTCATTCCCATGGCCAACCCGACAGCCCCAGGACTCTGGATGGCACTCCCCCGAACCGCCTCCTGGGAGTACCTGGCTGCCTTTCTGGCTCCTCCTCCTCCCCCCGAACCCACCCCACCACCGTCTCGGCTGCTGCCTCCCTCCCAAAGTCGCTTGGCAACGGGAGTGCAGACTACAGAATAAGGAGCGGCTGCATCTGTCTGATTGGCTGGCTGCTCCGCTTTAACTCGTGATACCAGAGGTAAGGGAGTCAGGCTGGAGGGCGGGCGTGCTGCACTGTTACTGGTCTGTGTTACGGGGCTCTGGGGCTCTGAGGGAGGGGTTTCTTCTGTATGAAGACCCTGGGAGTCGCAACTAGGAGAGGATACCTGGAAAGGAATACATACTTTAGATTCATCTGGTTTTTAACATCAACACAGATGTTTAAAGACTCAAAATTAACTTGATATACAAATAAAAACGGTTTAGACATGCCTTGAGGAAAAATTCTGTGCCTTTTTCCATGATCTGCTGGATCTGAAGGAAACCAGCAGTATACATGAGGAGGAACTGGTCTCCCACTGTCATACTAAGGCGACCTGTGTAGCAGAAAGTCAAAATCTGCTGAAAGCTCTGAGGCTGCACAGCAGGCGGGAGCTCGACTACGGTTGGGCTTGTCTCATTGCCGTTACCACCTGATCCGTTGCTGCTGCTGCTGAAGAGGTCCCGGAAATAAGAGCTGCTCGCTGCCAGAACAGCTCGATGAGCCTAGGGCACAGGGTAGTGCAGTTAGGAAACTTTTACATTTCAGCATTTTAAATCTTGATATATACGTGCAACATTTATGGCATTTGTAAATTTTAAAGCATTAAAACATATTATGTCTTTATAGTTTTGTTGCAGTTACTCGATTATTTTAACAATTTTTTAAAGTGGTCTTGAACAATATTTCTTTTGGCATTTTTAAAGACTGCTGATGTTTTTTTAGGCACTTAGGCTGCTTTTTAACTTATTTTTCATCTAGTCATTGGGCGGTGTGTGATTAAAATGTGGAAGACCTAAAAAGCCTCAAGTTTTGGAATTTGAAATTCATTCAGCAGAAACCATGGAGATGTCAACTAAAATAAATAAATAACAAATCGTTGGACATCCCTTTGTTGATGTTAGTTCTGAGACAAACTGTGATATCTTTAGGAATTCTCATAGATTCAGCTTAAGATAGATATTTTGGTTAAAGGCTGTTGGTAATCAAGTGAGTAAAACTACCATTTAAAATTTGGATTCTTTGCGAACCCTTAGGAGTTTACTTATTCCTTATTCAAAGGTCATAGGCATGATGAATTAGCAAAATAACATTTGTTATGCAAATAACAAATTTAGTTATTTGCATAAATAAAAACGATTATTTAGGTTAAATTCAGTTAAAGGGACAATATGTAGTTTTTTTGTTAATCTCTGGAAATATCCATCAAAATGTTGAAAATCAATGAAATGGTGTCCATTTGTTGAAAAATATTGGCAGCTTTGTAACATATAACCATAAAAATCTGGTCTAAGATACATGGGAGCGGGACTAAGGGTGTTTCTCAATGTCAAGGAACCTTGCCTTGATGTCTTGGCTCCGCCCCGGTTGCCTAAGAAATATGTCATCAGGAACCGCCAAGACGTGTTCCAATGTGTGTGTTCTCTGTTTGTTAGCCATTTAGCTAGCTGAGCAAGGATACACAGAAGGTGTCTTGTAGCCTAGCCTTGGTCAAAAATTTCCCAGAATTCACCGCAGTATTTTCAAAAGGTTGGCAAATCAGAAGCTGGCAGCTACTTCAGGGGCAATTTTCAAGATTAAATGTAAGTCAACTAATTTAAAAAGGTTTTTTTTTAGAGCCAAAGAAGTTATCCATGGTTGGTTAGATGCTTAGTATTTGCAGCTCCGGTGGCTAGCGGGTAGTAACTCGCTTAGATATTTAATTTAATATATACACAATTTAAAAAGTGAAAGTCTTGTTATATATTTATATTGAATCTTTTACGTATAAAATATAACATTATCTCCTGTGTCACATGATGTTAGGTGACCGCCGTGGAAGCCGCGAACACGTGATGCAAGTCTGTTCCATTTAACCATTTTCTTTGACCAAGTAAGGACAGTGTCCTCGTAAGCAAGGTGCCTGGCCTCGCAAGACATTGCCTTGCGAGGCCAGGCACCTTGACATTGAGAAACACCCTAAGTCTCTGGGCGACTCCATATTAGATGCCATGTTTCCTTCTATGGAAGCCCATGAGGACAAAAGACATTTACTGATTTGTAAAAAATGGTTACAAAACTTTCACCATTCATAAATGCTGTTGTTTTACACATTTATCTCTTCACTCATTGCCAATAATGAAAGGGAGTCTGATGTGCTTGCCATTTTGCTGAAGTTTGCACTTCCCAGGCCTATTAGACCCTAATGAGCATCCGTTGGAAAGTTCTTACTCCAGCACAAAAACACAGCTTGACTGCAACAATTTAGATATCTACTGCCCCCCATCACCAGGAAAAATACACACTATCACTGTAAGTCCATTTCACAAAGCAGTCCCTGCCAACACAGACAGCAGCTCACATGTTAAACTTCCAGTGTCTTCCACTTCCAACGTGGAATCTAAAAATACTTTACATACAACATGACATGAAAGAAGAGGGATTATAGAGGAAGTACCAGTTTATGCACCGTCATGCATTTATTGGAAAAGTTTTTAGTTGAGTGAAACTCACAAAATGGCTTTAGATTTTCTTCTCTCTGATAGTCACAAAAAACGAAAAACAGTTTGAACAAATACTTTTAGACATAATTCCATCAGATTTACAAGCAGCAGAGCAGAGGATGGCAATCTTTCAAGCATCCTTGATGAAGCTGATCCCTAAAACAAAATTGTAAATTACCTTCTACAGCAGTGCTATTCAATTCCAGGCTTTGAGGGCCGGTATTGAGCATGTTTCTGTGGTTTTTCTGGTCCAACACAGCTGATTCAGTGGTTGAATTACCTGTGCAGCAGTTCATCAGGCCCTGGTGCTGGACACTGGCTCTTGAGGCCTGGAATTGAATAGCCCCGTTCTAGAGTACTACAACCCCAACACATGGGGTGCGAACCTGCAATCCTCCTACCCACTGTCCCCCCACTCTGCAATGAAACCCGGAGAGTCCCAACTTCTTTGATGCTATTAAATAGATGTCTCTGCCATGTGGAAGTGTGATCTGTGTAATTGTTTTTAATGTGCATGCGCATAAGAAGTGTAAGTAAATTTACAAGTGAGACCAAAAACTGGATGGTCCAATCGTTGGTTTCGGACCAAGCCATGTCACTGGATGAGGTTTTCAAACAAATGCGAGAGAACCACTTCATTTTTTTTCCCCCCACAAAATATTTATAGCTACACTATGCTAGAATGTTGTTTAAAAGGCCGAAAAATGTTTTAAGCTAGCTTGTTTTGCAGATTTACCATTGCAGGTTTAAGACGTTGGTGGAAACAATCATATACGCCTCCATTATTCCAGACTGGATTATTGCACTCCTTGGAAGCTGGACTTAACCTGGCATTGATAGCCAAGTTACAAATGGTATCAAACTCTGCAACCAGCTTTTTAACTGTATCCAAAAATTAAAAGTATATTGCACCACTCTGGAAGATTTAGCACTGGCTTCCAGTTCACTATTGTGACAATTGTAAAGTTTTGGTTTATGTTTTTAAGGTTTTTTGTGTAATGTAGTTTTTTTGTGATTGTATTTTTATATATAGGTATTGCTGCTTTCATTTGTTTTTAATTATTAATGTATAAATGTGTTCTCGCTTTCATATTTTTACGCTTTCTAATGTCTTATTTCCTATGTTGTGTTCACCACTTTGGGCTGCCTTCTTCTTTGTGAAAAGCACTATAAGAATGAAATTGATGATTTTGATAAATACTTACCATTTTAATATTAATTGCTGTTAGCTTACTGAATGGCCTTGTTTTGGTGGGACATTTTTAGGACCAATAAGCTAATGGCTTGTTTATTACTGCCATCTTAAAACAAATTTGTGTACAATCATTTTGACAGAAATATTAAGATACTGGTGGCAAACTTGAGCCCTGATGCACCAAAGTGCTGAACTTTGCTACTGCTAGTTACATCTACTCTTCAAAAAAAAAAAAAAAACAAAAAAAAAAAACACAGTAAGTCATGCAAAACGTTTACCCAAAACAAAGTCACTACTATGGTATTTTAACGTTTGAAAAGTACCTTGAAGGTGTGGCCCTTGACCACGACAAAGACATCGCAGTAGAGGCCCTGCAGACGCTGCTCATTCAGACACTCTAAAATGTTGTTGCCAAAGTTCGGGATCGCCATCTGGAGGGTCTGGGCCATGGTGCGCCTACGCACACCACCAAAGGGTTTAGCTAGGAAGGGAAAAGGAACAGACAGAAAATGGAAAACACAAGAAAGACATAGTGGAAATGAACATGCTGCAATCCATTTAGATGTGCTGACTTTCAAACGATCCAGCTGGAGCGAGGTGTTCTTAGTTAGGCCCCCCGAGTCATTTTCATCACATTATTCAGATGGAAGAGGTAACACTTTGATTCATTGGTTCTGCAGCTTTATCCCTGACTATGAACAGGATTGAGGCCACGCGGTGGGTGGGATAACTTGGCCACATAAACTCACAACAATGACAAAAACTGTCTCTTTGGAGAGAGGACAGTTTCAAAAGGGCAATGCGTGGGAGGAGGGGAGCAATGCAACAAGGCTAACATACTTAAAGAAAAACTGTTGCAATAAAATAGCTGGATAAGATTTCACTGGTGCAAACTAGTTTTAAACACTCAAATTAATAGAAGACTGTTGACGAAATCTATGAAGAAACCTCTGCTTTTCCAGTTTTTTTATAGATGCTAGCTGAGACTTAAGAATGTTCTACTTCACAATAAACTGAACTGAACTTCTGCTTTGCTCTTAGTTGTCATCTCCAGGGGTAAGCCCAGTAAAAAAAGAGCTATTTTTCTTGTTTTTTTTTGCCAGCTATAATGCTGTCCTTCAATAAGTGGGTCATGCTCCCTCATTCTATGTGTGAAAGTGTGTGTGGTCTTAACAAAAACCACATTGCATCTTAGAATTCACCACTATCAACAGTTGCAGGCAAGCAAGCATGTGGTCTGTTCCTCCACTCGTATTGCTACACGCTACCTGTTGTATAAACAAAGAAAAAAATCACTCTGAAGAGAAAATGACAACTAATTGCATTATTGGTTGATTTTGGGATGATGTGTGATGAGGCCCTGCAGAAATATGCTCATTTTCTTTCAAATAACAAGATTCAGTATCTTTGTGGTATAGAGAAGCATAATCATTCAGTTATACAATTAAATGTATGCTGGCCTAGAACAAATGATCCCGTCTTTACCAGGTTTTAAAGTTATTCAATTCTAAACTCAAATGCACAAAAGCCCACAACAGATTCCATGTTTTAATTAATATCCTAAAACAAAGGTACAATGGAAAAGTGGCGTGAAAAGATTAAGCTCCCCCTTGGTTCTAACAACGTTCAGTTGGACTTTTTCAGTCTTTTACATCAGTTTAAGAGAATTTGGTCCCAATCTTCTTCAAAATGTAGCCTAATACTTTGTGGTTAGAAGAAATTTACCGATTAGAAGAAATTTACCGATTTGAATTTCTTCTTCTTTCTTCTTTCGGTCTTTATTTTGGTTTATAGCATTAACATAAAAATTTTCTTTTCAAACAAAACAATATTAACAATTTGAATTTAAACCAAAAAAGGAATAGGCAGAAGCAATGCTTATTTTAGCCTACCCTATTTTCCACCTAAGATACATAACCAATATACATTTCTTTTATTTTCCCCAATATAAATATCCACAATGAAAATTCATTAATGTCTATACATACTTTTCATACCCTGTAAATATGTGACACTTTACACCTGCTTTAAACTTTAGTACAGAAGTACATTTCTTCAAATCATCATCAATTTTAACCACGATGTAAAACACTGAAGTTAATCCATTAAGACTTCTCTATTTCGGCATTAGGTTCACCCTAATGGAGTTATGACCTCCTTCATTCTTAGTTGAACCATTAGAAAAATAAGTTGTACATATTGTAAATAAATGAATCACACCTGGTTGCTTAGGATCTGAATAAAGTGGATCATCCTTTATGTTATGGCCTGGCCCCTCGTAGACGGGTCGCAACACCGCCCCCAAAGATAAATAAACAAACAAACAATGTAGAGCAGGTTGCCCAGTAATCGGATGGTTGCAGGTTCAATCCCAGCTCCCACCAGAGAATGCTGTGTCCTTGGTCAAGACACTCAACCCACTTTGCCTACACAAATACAGGCCGTTTTACCATTTACCATGCATTAATACAGCTGTGAAACCAATTCATGTAAAATAACGGATTATAATGAAACTGATCATTTGTCAGACTATAGTGATCCACCAGAATTTCTCACCATTGCAACCCTAATTATTGCAGTGCTCTGTGGAGATCACGCCACAGCAATTCAACCCAGTTGGACTATGGACTGGAGCTGGACTTTGCACGATTTTGTTTTTCCCACCTTTTCAGACATTCTGTTGTAGATTTGTTGCCATTTTGGGGATGATCATCAGATGACCTCACATTTGACTCTGGAATACTTTGGTCTACAGAGGAGCCCAGATCATCAGCCCTCCACCACTGTGCTGAAAGGTCATATGATGAGTTTGTGTTGAAATGCTGTGCTTTGTTTTTTAAATATTACGACAAAACATCTCTGTTTTGCTCTCATCTGTCCAGATAACGTTGCTCTAGAAGTAATGTGGTTAATTCAAATGAAACATCGCAAATCAAAGTCGTGTTGAGATTTTCTTCTTAGAGTGGAACGATTTGTTTCTGCAGCTCTTCCAAAGAAATCAAAGCTGTGAACTTTAACCTTCAACTTGCAAACTGCAGCTTGTAGAATCTGAGCTGAAGCGCTTGTTTGTTTTATTTACAATTTCTCTGAGAGTCACACGGTTTGACCTTTGAGTAAACGTGTTGAGAAGAATGACAGTCATCTTAAATTCTTTCTTTCTTTATCCTAATTGCTGTGAAATGGCATTGTGTTTACACACACCTGTATGCTCCAGAAAAGCTAACTCAATGATGATGATCCACACATTTAATCAGCAGTCGATCTTACCTTCCCTCTTAAATGGTGTGAAAGCAACAAGGGATGACCTCCTTATTGATCGATACATATGATTAAGATGGAATCTGTCAAGTGTTTTGTACAAACAAAGTTAAGATTTGAATAATCGTAAAAATACGATTATTTTATGTTTTTCTGATAATTTGAACCCTATAAATGAATACGGCAGCAGCAATCTCAGCTGTGTGTACTTTGTAAGCATGCTGATTAGCCCTCGTAGCATTTTACCCCGTTTAAATGTGCATTTGTGCCTTTTTACTGAGCTACTTTACCGCTTAAAAGTGCTGCATGACTAAATGCTGCTTTCACACACAGAGAAATAAATAAACACATGAAGTTACAGTTTGTTACTGATGGGACAAAGTGACTGAAGCCCACCCTGCGAGAGGTATACAACCAGTTTTTGGTGTGACAGACTGATGAGAGCCTGGAGTGAGCCACCCCATCATATCCAAAGCCTTCCATTTGGGACCTAGCCAAGCTCCAGGGTAAAGAGAAATGCTTGCTTTGTCTCCGTCTCACTCAAGCTCCCTCTCCCTCATACTAAAACACAGATGCACACACACACACACACACACACACACACACACACACACACACACACACACACAAATTCAAACAAACCCACAAAAGGCACACTGAGTCTCTCTCTCTCTCACACACACAAGCGAACATTAGACAGTACTGCTTGTTTACAGTTTGGCGAGCCATGGTGAGCACACACATGTGTGCACACGAAGACACACAAACAGGCTAAGAGCAGGGTGTGTTTGCACAGTTTGCCCTGACAGTCAGAGAGAATGTGACTCGTGTGTGTGTGTGTGTGTGTGTGTGTGTGTGTGTGTGTGTGTGTGTGTGTGTGTGTGTGTGTGTGTGTGTGTGTGTGTGTGTGTGTGTGTGTGTGTGTGTGCACTTAGGAGAAGCAGCAGAGCCTTCAGAGATCATCTCAGGTTCTTTTAAAATATATAGAGTGCAGTGGTGTGAACAAATCAAACTAACTGTGGTTAAGATTTTCAGCCTAGAAAGGAAAGTAGGTCAAACATTCATGCAACATACTTAAAGACTTTTCATTCTAAGCCCCCATTAAGGCTACCAGTGTAAAAGCATTAAAGCACTATTATTACTAGCCTGCTTGTGATTCGGTCATGATTGCCGTCCAGTTTCAGGCTTTCAAAATAATACTGATTATATGCGACATTGTAGGGGGCAATCAGGAATAGCATGCTATGACTTTTAGTAGCAGTGCATTATACAATAAAGACACAAATGGTCCAAAAACTGCAAGATACTTTTGCATTGATGGTATTGAGGTTTGAGCCAAACTGGTGAGAAACTAGGGATGTCCTGTTTAGATATCGGAAGTAATTCGATATTGGCCCAAAAACACTGTATCAGATTATATCTGACTCCATCAAAAATCTCCGACATGAGCAGTCCGGTTCACATTTTTGCAACCAATGGTAAAAAAAAAATTGTGATGCACCGATATGAAATTTTTTGGCCGATACCGATATTCGATAATAATATCACCGTTATGGGCGATAACAGATATTTGCCGATTCTGATATACTGAAATTAATGCTTCTAAAATCAGCAGATTTTGTATAGAATGAAAATTATTAAAGTTGAATTTAAGTTATTATGTCAGATGACTAAACAAATACACACCACCCCCCTCACCCTCTGAAACTGATAAACAGTAACAAGATGGAAAAAATATTGGTTGTTAATATCGACGCAGTTTTATTTATCGGGCCGTTACCGATATGTTAAAAAATGACTAACATCTGCCGATACCAATATTGATGCAGACATATTGTGCATCTCTAAAAAATATTGTCATTTTTTTTTCATACTTACTGTTATTGGCTCTTGTTCTCTGATTGAGTAATATCACTTAATCAAGCCTTTCATACATTCCACACTACCAAATAGGTAAAATTAAGTATGATTTTTGCTGATAATGTATCGGATTGATATCGGTATTGGTCAACACAGAAGACTGCAATATCGGTATTGTATCGGAAGTGAAAAAGTTGCATCGGGACATCCCTATGAGAAACCCAACTTTATTTGGAGTTGTACAGCCCAGACCGACTCACTCTAAAACATCAAAGTTTTAACGAGTTCCAGTAAGTTTACTTGACTGAACTGGTGCTCTTATTGTCCTTTAATTTTATTAGGGCTGGGTGATAAATTGAAGATGTATTATTATGGAAATTTCTGAATCTAACCAATATAATTTCTCATGTCAATAAGTTTGGTTATGAAAAAATAAATAAAAATGTGTGTAAGTTGATGAAGTTCATGTCCGTTTAAGAAGCTGTACCAAATTGAGTCACATGACAACGTGACTCAATAAAATACATGCGACAGCTTCATCTAGTGGACAACTTTAGTTTTTGCACATACATGTAGTTATCATCCATTTTATCGTTATCAAGGTGAACTCCTTAATATACTGCAATATTGATTTTAGGCCATATCGCCCAGCCCTAGTTTTGATGCAAGTGCATTATGTGTAGCAAACATTTGAGCTTACCATTCATTGCGGGGGGGTTTCTGTCCTTTGTGATCTGCGTATTGCGCATGCCAATATTGCGGTGATGAAACGTATGCGATGTATTGTGTGGCCCTACTTCATATGTAGTCTGGCTACGAGCCACTGAAACCGCCCAGCCATGGGGCGGAATCTACAGTTGTCTTTTAAACCATCTCACGCAGTTGGACGGTGCTATCAATCAGAGTTACGAACAGCGTGATGTACTCACCAATACGGATGTCCGTCAACGGGGCAGTTTGCCGTAGAGGAAGCAAATAAATCCTTTTTCGAAATAAATGACTTAAGTATCTCCATTTGCTCACGTCTCAAACAAAAGTTAATGTCTAAATCGTAGGAAATTGATGCCAAAGCCATTTCAAACGAGCGCCATTCCAGTGTCTATGTCAAGTTTTTCTACATGGTAGCTCTGGTTTTAAGCCCAACTAGCAAACGTAGAATACTGTGATTGGCAGATCACCCTGTAGAGATCAGCTACTGCTACAGTTGGTCTAGATTTCTAGGCTAAATTAATTATTTTTACTCCAATACTTTGAGCTTATATCAAAATTATAGCAAATGTTGGCATTTTTGTCACAGGCTTCCTAGTGATTTTAGGACTGATTTGCAAGACTTAAGCCTGGGGCACACAGAAGACGGATGCGCTGCGCCACTAAAGTGCCACAGTCACACAAATGGTAAAAAAAAGGCCTGTATTTGATATAGCACCTTCTAGAGTCCTGGAACCCTCCAAGGTGCTTTACAACACAACCAGTCATTCAACCATTCACACACACATTCACACACTGGTGGGGATGAGCTACGATGTAGCCATAGTTGCTCTGGGGCGCACTGACAGAGGCGAGGCTGCCAAGCACAGGCGCCACCAGTCCCTCCAACCACCACCAGCAGCCAACGTGAGTTAAGTGTCTTGTCCAAGGACACAACAGCGACAAATTGAGCGGGGCTCAAACCGGCAACCTTCCGATTACGGGGCGAGCACTTAACTCCTGTGCCACCGTCGCACAGGACTCGCTTAGCTGCTGAAAGCTCCTTGGAAAATCGCACGATAGTCAACATCACGCGGGACTTGAGAACAGGAAGCGGTAAGTGACTTTTGTTTATATGTGATCAGACTTGGCGTTGTGTTTTGTGAGACTCAACTGGATAAGTAAACTAATTATTGGAATATTTTAAGATCAATAGTACTTTAAAGTTACCAATACTGTAATCAAGTAGCAGTTAAAAGCTCCTCGTCCATGTTTTGGTGGTTGGGTTTGTGCCGTAGAGCTGTTCCGCGCAGTCTGTTGTAAAGTACTCCACAATGTTGTAAACGGCCGCGCCACATTGCTTGAAATTGAACAGGCACCTATCTTAGGCGTCTCTGTGCGAACCGACGTTTCTGGGATGTGGCCCTGCGCTCCCCGTGTAGCCACTCTCAGTAACTTTAATGGCTTATTTTTAAAATGACGCAGCGGACGTGACGTGGCGCACATCTGTCTTCTGTGTGCCCCAGGCTTTAACATGGATTTATAATGCACTGAGTGGTGCTGGGTGCATAATCTAGTGCAGCCTTATGTAGGACTACCCTCCACATGGATCAGTTGCTTTTACCTGTCCCAAGGTCCAGGCTGGTGCACAAAGCTATTACATTTGTACCACCTAAACTCTTTTTAAATGTCATCCACATTATTTAAATGTAATGACCTTTAACTTTCTATTTACATCATTTTATTGTTTTCTTATAATTACATTACATTCTAAAGTAATTACTACTTTAATTGCTTAATTTGTTTTAACAAATGCCCTTTTGTATTTTACCAATTGTTTTTATTATCTCCAGTGCTTTTTTCTTCTTATATTTATTGTGCTTTAGAAATAAACTACAACATTTTGCTGCTCAAAGTTCAAATTAAATATTAATACAACTCATTGTTTTAGTACAGCAACTTTCCGTCCAAGGTTTACCTTTTAAACATCCTGTGTGAGACTTGTGTGGTTACCATAACGCCCCACTGGCAGCAGCTTTAACATTTCTTTTGATCAAGCCACTAATAACACTTCTTTTATTAAAAAGTTTTGCTTGACGTTGGATTTTCCAGCAGCATCTGCAGCAGAAAGCTTCAAACTTTCATATGAAAATTTCCACTTTATGACAGGGCAGCTTTCCAAATCCGTCAAAACTTTCCAGTCGATCCAGATCAGGACTTGAACTGCCATGTTTTATTGTGTCATCTGGATGAGAACAAGTCACTTATGCACCTGACACACAGCATTTACATGCCTTTCCTTCTGCACATGAGCTTGTGCATGCATACCTGTGTAGCTTCCCTCAAGTCAAGACAACTACAGGGCTGATTTCTGATTAGTCATATCAAAGCTGCACAGACTGACTGTCTTCATGCACTCTCTAAAACAGTAGAGCACGTTTAAAGGGGACAGGCGAGGTGATTTAGTGGTAGAAATCCCCCCAGATATCAGTTTGTCTTTCTTTTTACACAAAGTTTAAAAGCATTCAGGTTCAATAATCCGTTTTCCCCTTGTGGCTGCTGCTTCATCCCCTCTCCCATCCGCAGCAGGCCTATAGGAGGTAGCTAACAGCTAAGCTAACACCACAGTTAAATATTTTGGGTTCGCCCCGGCGCACCATCCACCTCGCTCATCCTCCCCAGCAGCACACAATGTCAAAGCGTTTCCGCGCTCGGAAAGAGAAAACGGAGACTTACAGCCCGAGCGGACGAGGTCGTCGTGCTGCGGCGCCGGCTGGTTGTCAAGCTCTCAGAAACCTCGCCTTATTTAAATATTTTGGTGATGGGGGAAATCGCTCCCCCTGCCATTCTCCATTCTACCGACATCAACAGGTCATCCCAGGACACGCAGCAGCTGAGGGGCGAGCCAGACGGAACCAGTGCGGCACGGAGCGGGGGTGGGGACGAGAAGGTGGGAGCACAACAAGGCACAATTCTTCGCAGCCGGTGTTGTGCCAAAAAATTTATCAAACTGATTAACGCCTCTCTCTTTTCAGTGTGGCGCGAGCTGGTTAAAAACACATGACTCCGAGGCGTTTTCGAGGAGTTATTAAATGCTTAAATTTGTCTACAAAAGCTAAAGAAAGTTCGTCCTCCTCAGTGGCGTGTTCAGTACACAAAGTTTTATTATCTGGTGGATTCATTTACTTTAACCCCCTCCCCTCCGGCGGTACCGCTAGACCAGCCCCCCCCCCCCCCCCCCACACACACACACACACACACACACACTTGTAACGGGCAGAAACAGCACACTCACCTCCTCCCTGGCAAGCTGATGTAGGGCTTTCGGTTCAAAGCAGGGAACGCGGAGCTCTCCCTCCCCGGGTTTCCTCGCTCCGAGCGGCCATTCAGTGAGAGCGAAGCGGCGATCGCAGAGCCATCGAGGGCTGTACAGTGCAGGGGATTGCGGAACACAGAGTCACTGATCTCACTGTGAAGAAGAGGAGGAGGAAGACAAGCATGACGCGCGCGTCATTCAATCGCACGATCGTTTCGAGCGCGGTCTCAATTTGGAGAGACGTTTAACCCACCGCGGCGGAGGGTGTTTGCGCATTGGCTCAGCCGCAGAGACTGTCTTTCGCTGTTTCTCTGCGTGCGAGCCGCAGATTTTAGGAGAAAGTAGGCCGAACTGTTTCAACTTAAGTGAACTCTGCACTAGCAGCGGGCACTGTCTGCCCTGGCTGTCGAGACTGAAAAATATTGTTGTAAAATGGTGACGCCTGACTATTTAAAGTTTGTTGTTTATTAAAACAATTTTGTATGGTAGATAGGCTCACTGCAATGTACACAGTTTCATTTAATTTACTTTTTTAAATGTGTGTAAAATGGTGCTCTAGTACTATTAGGAATACTTTCAAAGTCACAAGAATAGGTTATTTCAAGAACAGCCTGAGCAGTGGTGGATCTAGGACATTTTACATGGGGGCAAAGGAGACTACACAGGTCTGGGCAGGATGGCGATGCTCATTAAATCAGCTGTAAATGGAGTCAACCAAATATCCACAAAAACAATTTGATGAGACAAAACTAATATTCCACTAAATAAATCCAGAAATAAATAAATACTGGAGACAACTTCAAAAAACAAACTTGAATTACTGATCTCAATCATATCTTTAAAGCCGGACAGATACTGTGCAACTTGTTCACTCATAGCATTCAGCTTCATCTCAAACTGTACGACTTCCTTGCAGAGCAAAGTTCACTAGTCATGTTCTCACATTGTACGACCCAGAGCTTAAATGTGACCTGACTGCTCACACTGTACGACTGGTAGTAACATGTCTGAACTGAAAATGTGCTAAAAATATTAGTTTTAACACAATACATCAGCGTTCGGAATACCGGAAGACTCGGAGACTGTTATGTCATTTCTCCTTCAGGCTTGCTGTAGGTCACAGGTGTCAGTTCAGACATGTTACTACCAGTCGTACGGTGTGAGCAGTCAGGTCACATTTAAGCTCTGGGTCGTACAGTGTGAGAACATGACTAGTGAACTTTGCTCTGCAAGGAAGTCATACAGTTTGAGATGGAGCTGAATGCTACGCCCTCTGTTGTGCTGGCGGGGAATTGCTTTGCAACACTCTCCAGGTGACGGACAAGTCAGAGAGCAAAATGTTTCTGTCAATGCGTGTGCGCCTCTACTTTGCTGAGAAGTATAAATCAGGCTTAATGCTCTGGCTTTACCGTCTCCGGCTCAAAATAAGTTTCAATAAAAGGACAAACAACTAAGTCCTTCAGGGGAACTTCTGAGTTAAAAAAATGCTCATGGAATACGCATGTGGAGTAACCAGGTAGGCAGGTTTTAACGTTGCAAATCAGCAACTCCTGCCACCAGAGGGTTAAGGCTCTCTGTAATATTGTGTGGACATTGTGGGCAATTTCATTGGATTGGCAGACCAGGGTGGTGGTCCCACTATTTAAAAAGGGGGGCTGCATGTGTTCCAAATATGGGGGAAACACACTCCTGAGTCTCCCTGGTAAGGTCTATTCAGGGGTTCTGGAGAGAGAAGGTCAGTGCATTTGACTGTGTACCTAGGGAGAAGGGGGGCTTTTTGGGGTACTCTGAGAGTATGGGGTTCCAGACCCCTTGTTAGGCTGTAACCCTGTATGACCGGTGTCGGAACTTGGTCTGCCTTGCCGGCAGTAAGTCAGGCGTGTTTCCGGTGAGAGTTGGACTCCACCAAGGCTGAACTTGGTCAACAATTCTGTTCCTAACTTTAATGGACAGCATTTCTAGCTGCATCCAAGGTGTTGAGGGGATCTGTTTCGGTGGCCTAAGGATCAGGTCTTTGCAGATAATGTGGTCCTGTTGGCTTCATTAGACTGTGATCGACAGCTTTCGCTGGAGCAGTTCACAGCCGTGTGTGAAGCAGCCGGGATGAGAATCAGCTTCTCTAAATCAGAGACCACGATCTTGATTTAGAAAAGGGTGGAATGCCTTCTCCAAGTCAGGGACAAGGTCTTGCCTCAAGTGGAGGAATTTAAGTATCTCGGGATCTTGTTCAAGAGTGAGTAAAAGATGTAGCATGAGATCAATAGGTGGATTTGTGCTGCATCTACAGTAATGTGGGTATTTTACAAGTCCGTCGTGACTCATGGTAAAGTGAGAGCTGAGCCGGAAGGTGAAGCTCTCGATTTACTGGTCGATCTACCTTCCAACCCTTACCTATGGTCATGAGCTTTGGGTAGTGCCCGAAAGAATGAGATCACAAATACTAGTGGCCAAAATTTGTTGTCTCCGCAGGGTGTCTGGACTCTCCTTTAGATATAAGGAGAGAAGCTCCATCATTCATGAAGGTTTCATTGTAGATCTGCTCCTCCACATTGAGAGGAGCCAGTTGGGGTGGCTCAGGCATCTGGTTAGGATGCCTTCTGGACGCCTACCTGGTGAGGTTTTCTGAGCATGTCAAACCAGGAGAAGACCCAAAGAAAGACCCAAGACACACTGGAGGGACTATGTTTTTTCGGCTGGCCAGAGAGCACCTTGGGATTACCCTGGAGAATCTGGCCCAAGTGGCTGGGGAGAGGGAAGTCTGAGCCTCTGCTGCTGCCCCCGTGACCCAACCCAGGATGGATGCATGGATGGATGGGTAACACTACTTCAGTCAGAATCTATATTAAAGTCGTCAAGATGGAAGTTCACTTTAAATTGACCTAAGATTATGTAACATTCTGTTCAGTGTATAACTCAGCCTGACATGCCACTGGATGGCACTATCACACTAAAACCTGAGCAGGTTTTTATTTTTTTAAACCTAACCATGTGTACTCAACTTTTTCATTAGGAACTTACATTTATATTAAGAGCTAAATAATATTTGAAAATGTAAAGGTTTGTGTTGGTAATCTCCACTGTTTCCTTTGTGTAACTACTATTTCATTTGTTTTAGTTGAGACTGCACGTTACTGTGTACTTTTAAAATGTTTCAAATAAAAAAGTGTGTAAAAACAGTTGCAGACTAACCAATTGGACTTATCTCATTTGTAATCAAATCAGCTCCCTTTAAACCGTCATATTTTACTTTCTCAAAAAGTGACGTGGCATCTGAAGATACAGAAGCGTCTTCACCTTTGTCTAGACTGATTAATAAATGCTTTTATGATTTTGTGTAGATCTTTATCACCTGGTTAATACTGACAGCATGTATGTTCCCTGCAGCATTTTTCAGCTTCTTGTGAAAATCATGTTAAAACCCAATTAGTGTAACCAAATTGCTACTATTTGATGTTGGACCACAGCTCATATGTGACCCCTCACCTCTGTGTGTGTTAATGCAGATGCACAGAGGGGCCAAATGAAGGCCTAGAAGGAAAATGATGACCATGAGTTTATGTGAGGGCACAAGGGTGTCAGACAGAGAGATGCTCCCAGGCAGTCTGCTGGGAATGGTGCCCTGCTTCCCCCTGTGCTGGCCCCTTGCCACTAGTCGGACAGCAGCATGCTGTGACTCCCTCCCAGCAACAGTGTCACAGATCTGGGTCGACTGCCAAAGGATCCTTAGCCAATCGAGGCAAACACTGTACCAGATCACTCCAGAGGTAGCCAATAGTAAATGTTGATGTGCCTAGTGCTATCCCACCCAGATGTAAATTCCTATGAACTCACAATGTTCACGAAGGTGGACATGAAGGTGCAGCTTGAAGGCAATGACAAACTGCAGAATCATACGATATGTGAGTCTGTGCAGGGGAGAGATGAAATTTAAAAATGCATTTAGATTTTTAAAGGGGCATTATGGAAGTTTGACAGCCAAAACATGTATAGAAATAATAAATGTCTTCTTCATACATTCTCCTGCAATGCCCTGGTCCTGTAGAATGAGCCCTGGCATTTTTTACTGTGATTGCCTGTTTTTCTGTAAAATCACAGAAAAAGAGAGCTGCTCGGGTCGAGCAGGCTGCTTCATGCACGTTCACACTCAAGCATAGCCCGTAGCATTTGCTATCCGTAGCTTTAGCAGCAGAGAGAGGGGCAGTGCCAACTCAGCGACTTTGTCGCTGTTCCTAACGCCTAGTGATGAACCTAGCTACATTTCTGAGGACCCTTAGCTACTTTCTTCTAGATATTTCCTGCCAATTAGCAACAACATAGCCATTTTCGCTTCGAACCATTCTTTGAACGTTGTTTCAGCTCTCACCAGGAATGGCGCTATAGCTCACCTGGTATGACGTTGGACTCTCGTGCAGAAGACCCAGGTTTGAATCTGGATGTGAACATAGTTCATTTAGAGTTTATTTTTTACAATAATGGTATATTTTGTTTTACAGTAAGATGCCCAAATTTTTATTTGACACTCGCTGAACTGCATTGAATTCACAGATAAAAAAGATGTGGGTTCAACTTTCATTTTGGAACAATTTTTCAAGCAAGATCTGAGCATGCAGGAAGACTGACCCATCATAAACCTTTGTCGGCTGTGCTGAAGAGAAAGGTACAGAACCAAATTATTTAATTAATTAGCTGCGTGTTCTCCTGTCCTGTCCTCTGGGCCACACACACACACACACACACACACACACGGGACTGTCTCAGCTGTTATTTTCGTTAAGGAGTGTGCACGTACAGCATGCGCGCCTCGTGCAAGAGCCTACAATTGAAGCTGCCGTTACGCTTTTGGCCTGAGGGGGCAATCGCGAGCATAAAAATTCACAACTCCGTAAAGTCCC